TCAATTACAAGGAAAGCACTATCATTTAATGATTTTAAAAGCCTTCTCATTTCTCCAGTCATTCAGCTGGCAAAGCAGTTCCCCAAGTCCTGCTCCCCATCTGAAACCCATCTGTCCTGTATTAGTTTCAGTAAAACGGTCCTTGTCACCACGAGAGCTTCCATTCATAACTCAGCCTGAGACAATGAAAGGTATTTCTACAAACAAATGGCTGTGAAAATCAACTGTGCTTGTTTATCAGCACATGTGCAACTAGGGTGCCATAATTAATCACTTAATTGCTCATGTAATAATTTAAAACATGCCATAGGGAAATCACACACTTAAACACATTTATCTTTAAGGACCATACATCTTTCCAGGTGCTGGATTTCATTAAACCTCCAGCTGAATTCACAGGAACTGAAGTTGTTTAGCTCCTTACAGGAGCACAGAGAACACAGAGCATTGAATTCTTACCTTAAGTAGTTTCTGGATTGTATCAAAACTTTGAAGTGCAAGCTATGGAAATCAACAAAAGAAAATGAGCTCTGACAAAGTCTCTCTGGACTGAAAAGCTGGATTACAAATCCCTACGGCACAAAAATCTGTAAATTAATCTAGTTATGTTTATCAGAATTCTAAATGCATCCTTAGTTTTTCTTTTCTGCTTATTAATTTTTTTCTCTTGAATAATCTCTCTTTTATTGCATTTTGACCTGCTCAAAAATCTCTCTACTGGCTCAGCTCCATGAGCCAGCTCTCAGGACAAGAGAGACTTCTGCTGGCTTCTGTGAATGCCCTGGGGAGAAAACAAGCTACAGGCACAGATGATTTTGCTCCAGAGGAAGAATAAAAGAGAAAATTATAAAAATTCTGGGAAAAAAAAAACACCATGAAAAGGAAAAACAAGTCAATTCTCTTCTGGCAGTCCTCACTGTTCCTCACCTGACCCAGAGAGTGATTGTGCAACTGGATTTTCTGCATTTCTTTTCTCAAGGAAGGTTATTGCTTCCATTCCAAAGTAATACCAATTGTAATCACAAATTATCTTCCCAAGTACTCTCAATGGCAGCCCTTTAAATGAGCTCACACACAGTTTCCTCCATGCTTAGTATTCACATGGCATCCTAAAGAGGCAGTAAGTTGTTGCTGTAAAAATTTAAATAGCTTCAGAGCCTTCTCCTTTCAGGTAACAGAGCAGAGATATTGCACTGCAGGCTGCATAAAATATTGGACCCCAAATGAGATACCTGCAATCAATTCTCCACATGGAAGTTATTATCATTTGACATACCAAACAAAAATAAAAAAGGTTGATAACCTCTTCTGACACTGCCTTTGCAGTTGCAAGTAATATAAATTAAATAGAAGAGTTCAATGGAGAAACCAACTCTTGGAGGCCTCAGCTTCAGCATTCACTTATGGATTTGAATAAACAGCTTTGAAAATTAAATACTTGTATAAAGCTACACATATGCAAAGCTGAATTCATTGGTTTTACTCATTCCCCCTGCAGGAGGTCTGCACTGAGCCAGAGAGCTCCTCCAGCCTCCACAAAGATTTCCAACTGCAGGAGGAGAACTGAGAAACTCCTTTCTTACTCTGCTTGGCACTGAACAAAAATGACAACACTTTCTGTGAGGGCAAGATCCCAGCAAAAGGACTGACAGCGTTTTCTGATGTGGGGAACTCTGGTGGACCCACATCTACACCCCCAAAGATGAGTGTTCAGACAGATGGAGAAAGGAAGAGGCACCTACCTCCCTGGTTGGGACGAGCACGAGCGCGTAGGGGCCATCGCTGCGCTGCAAACACACAAGAGCAGGGCTCTGAGAGAAGGCAGCACTGAGCAGAGCCCTCCACACCCCCTGCTCTCAGCCAGCACTGAAGGCCTTCAGAGCAACTTTCTACATGACATTTTAGGGTATTTCTGCCCCACAGCTTTTATAAAATCAAGTTTTTCATGTATCAATCCTGCACTGCCTTCTTGTCCCTGCTGGGAAAGCTGCTCACAGCCAAAGCCAACATTTTCTTGCACACACACAGTTTCACTCCTGTGCTCCAGAGCTGCAGGGATGCTCTCCTGCTTGATGCACAGCAACAATCTGTAGGTAGGAGTGACAATCCAGGATGGGCTGGAAATGCTTCAACCCTTCAGTCAGGATGATCTCTTTCCATAAAATGCACAAGATCTGCAGCAGCATTTTCTGGTGTATGATCCAAACTGGGAGCATTACCCAATCCCACTCCACGCCAAAGATTACCTAAAGACATGGCAGTAACCTTTGCTTTCAGTTCTTCCAGACCATTTCTTCTGCTCTCTACCTTCTCCACACCTGATAATTTAGCCCATTTCCAATTTATTCTGCAGCTTGGAGCAATGGGGAGTGGCTAACACTGATCTTGTACCATCCTCAACAGAACTGGGAAATCCCATCTGTTCACATGTACAAATAAAGGAGAACGTGGATTGCTTGTATGAAAAAGAGACAGCAATGACTACAGGAGCTGGATTTTATTTTTATTCATCTTAGTATCAAAAGCAAATTTATTTAGTGCTGTTGGACCTACCTGTATTTTGGATTCCATTCCTTGCAAAGACTGCACAAGTGGAATCCCATAGGCAAGAGTTTTACCTTTTTGGAAGGGAGAAAATAAGAAAACTTTCCATTAAAAAAAAAAGAAACAAGTGGCAATTACAGCACTTCAGCAAACCAAAGCCCCATTTGTCCCACCATTCTTAAACTGCAATCAGAGTCTGGAAAAGTTTCTATTACACAGAAAGTTTTCAGAATGGAAGATTAACAGGCAATTCAATAAAAGGTCAATTGGAAAAGAGGGGTGGTGCTATCCCACTAACATCTATTTAAATAAATGGAGTTAACACCCTAATGAAGGACAGTGACAGCTCAACACTGACCTGAACCAGTCTGAGATCTCACCAGGGCATCTCTGCCTTGCAGGAGCACAGGAATGGTTTGCTTCTGAACACTGGGTGACAAACAAAGCAGGACAGGAATTGCAGATAGAACACAGGATAGAATTCCAAGATTTTAACACACAGTGACTGTCTCAAAATTCTTTACCCCAAATTCCTCATCTCTGCTGTGCAGCTATATCAGCTGAGGTGATTTCTAAGGAAAGCCACTGGATAGGCACCAGATCAGACCAGATGGGTTTATTATTCAAGTGCCAAACTAGAAGGCAGGAGTCCCAACAGCAAACAGGACAGTGGTACTGTGGCCTTCACAAACCCATTAAATATAATGAAATAATCACAGGTGATTGGCTTTTAGGGGTAAACTGCACAGTTTTGATATTAATTTGCTTACCTGGTCATGCTGCATATGTTTAGGACAGTGTTTATTGTGGAGATCTAGAGAGATAGTAAAGAGAAATAAAGGCTTTATTATCAAACTGTTTCTTTTGGTACTTCTTGTACTGCTGAGACAGAACAAAACCCAGAAGACTGGCACTTATTCTCTGCATAACTGGTCCATAAAGTTCCCATCTCCTCAAAATACTTCTCACTTAATCAGAATTACACCACTGCTGGTTTTCTGTGTTTTTTTGGTATTACAGCTGCAAGCAGTGAAGAGGTCAGGACATGGACCACCACCCTGAGTGACAAAATCAGGTGAAGTATCCAGGTCACCATGAATAAAGTCTTTCTGACCTTCCCCCCACCCCAAATCCCCAAGTTTCTGAGGCATGCAGCCCTCCTGCCACTCACCAGATGTGGGTGGAGGTCCAGCTGGCTGAAGGAATCTGTAGTGAAAACATTTTCCTGCACCTGCTGCACTTCTTTTCTGAGTTAGGGGAAACAAAACCAAAACAAACAGGAGGGTTAAAAATGATACAACAGCATTCTACATAATCAGCAATGAAACTTCATTTCATTACCAAGAAACTGCTCTGCCAAGCAAGGACAAGAATTCAAGACAAGGAATTTCAAGGCATTGCAAAGGGGTTTTTTTTCTCCCATTTGTCTAAAATACCTGTGAATTTCTGGAATGTCTGGGTTGTTTTTAAACAGGCTGGATGTCTTGATGAAAGGTTTGTTCTTCTGGCTTTCATTCTGTTTCTCATTCAGCTGCTTCTTAGGAACAGTTTTTTGTGATGAGCTTCCCTCCTCCCTGCTGTCAGCCTCCGTGGCACCTTTCCTGAAGGTGTTTATGGATAATTTACGTTTGCGTTTCACCGGTGGGTTCCCACGTGGTGACTGCAGCTTCCTTTTCAGAGCACCAGACTGCTTTAAAGTGAAACAAACCAGTCAGCAGTGACACACAAACATCAGCCCACAGCAGAGCCTTATTTTTGGAATCCCCCACTCCATGACTAAAGAAATCAAAGCTGGTTTCTGCAGCTACACAACTCCTACCCCAACAGATCCACCACCGCGCCCGAGACCTCTGACACTGCTGAAATGCCATGAGCAACCTGAAGCCCTATCTAGTGCTCAGCCCTAAAGGATCCCATTCAACTCCTCCAGTGGCTGCGCAGAACACGCTTTAAAAATCTCTCTCAGAAGCATTTTAAAGCCTCTGCAGACGAAGCAGAGGGCTGGGAGAGCATCGCGCACAGCCCGTCAGAGGGAACGCGGTGAGGCAGGGCAGCGCCGTCTGCCCGCAGCTCCGGGGCTCGGAGGAGCCGGATCCCCGGGGATCGGGGAGCCACCTGCGAGCCCCGGTGTCCGACCGGCCCCGGCTCGGGCGGGGGAGAAGCCAAAAGTTCCATTTAACAACTTTGCCGGACGCTGCCTCGCCGCCCGGTCACGGTCCCGCAGGGTCCCGTGTGCCGCGTCCTGTGCCCCCTGTCCCGCCGGGTCCCGTGTCCCGCAGACCGCAGACCCCACACCCCTTCCCTTCCCTTCCCTTCCCGGGCTCCGTGAGGGCTCTCCGAACCCCACAACCCACGCTCCGGGGCCCGCGGGGCGCGCAGGCGGCGATGGGGCAGCCCCGGCCGGGCCCGCCGGGGGCTTCGGCGGCAGCGCGTGCGCGCGGCCCGTGAGGCGGCGGTAACATGGCGGCGGCGGGGCGGGAGGAGCCGCCGCTGGGGCTCGAGTCGGTGGCGGAGGAGGCGGCGGCGGCAGCGAGCGCCGGGTTCCGGCTCACGGCGGTGCGGCGAGAGCCGGCGGTGCGGCTGCAGCACGGCGCCAGCGGGCTGGAGCCGCTGGCATGGTCCGAGGATCACCGGGTGTCGGTGAGCACGGCCCGCAGCATCGCCGTGCTGGAGCAGCTGAGCGACGTGCACAGCGGCGGGCAGGACATGGTCATCCACCGCACCGCCGTGCCCGCGCCCGCCGCCGCCTGCATGCTCAAGGTGAGCGCCTGGCACGGCCTCGTCGCTGTGTGTGAATGTCTGAAGGGGGAGGTGCGGGTTGGACATCAGGGGTTTCCTCACGGGAGGGGCGATCGGGCTTCGGAACGGGCTGCCCGGGGAGCTGGGGGAGCCGCCGGCCTCGGAGGTGTTCAGGGAACGACTGGAGGCGCACTCAGGGCTCGGGTGACAAGGTGGGGATCGGGCACAGGCTGCACTCCGTGGTCCCAGAGGCTTTTCCAGCTTTAATGGTTCTGTGGTTTTCACCACGGTGCCAAGCAGTAAGACAAGAGAAACGAGCATAAACTGAAAGACACAGAGCTGCACCTGAACATGAGAAGAACTTTTTTCCTGTGCAGAATCCAGAGAGGGTCTGGAGTCTTTCCCACTGTGGTCCCTTCCAGCCTGACCCATCCTGGGATTCTGATCCTTCTCTTGGGGAGCTGCCCCTGCCCTGCCCAGAACTTGCTGCAGGCTCTCATTTTAAAAGCACAGGAGAGAAAAAACCATATCCCAGTCATGTCTAGGGATTCTGAAGTTCTGCTGTTTTACTGAGAATCACTTGAGCTCCAGTACAGTTATTTCATTACAGTTTTAAGTAGGAATCTTCCTTTGTTTTGCTACCTAAGCTGAAGGATTTTTGCAGCAGGGATTTCTCTGGCCTTCAGGGGAACATCTGACTTCTCATGAAAATGGCAGATGTGGGTGGATATCTTATTATTTAATACTTTTGTTGTTGTGAATCTGATTTTATTTTCCAAAACAATGCTGAGAATATGGAATGGAGTTGAGATACTGAGTATTTACATATTATGCCAGGTATCTTTAAAAGAACAAAAGTATGAAAACAGGCTCTTTGATTCAGCAGACAAAAATTCAGTAGCTGAGAGTCAAAACTATGCAAATTCAGGGCATTAATGAAGCTGAAGTCTTTAGGAGTGACACCAATTAACCAGGGTAGTGTTGGTTGTGATTGGGGATGCTGTGTTTGAAGAGAGAATTAATTCCAGGAAAGTCTTCCTAAAAAAAAACCAGCTGTGCAATAGTTTTAAAGGCTCTTTTTGTTCTCTTTTAGGTCGGCCCAAAGAAGGAGGTGGCTGAGTGCAAGGAGAAATTCGCCAGCTCAGTGGATCCCACCGTCAGCCAGACCTTCATGCTGGACCGAGTGTTCAACCCCGAGGGGAAGTCCCTGACCCCCATGCGGGGTTTCAAATATTCCAGCTGGTCCCCTCTGGGCTGTGACGCCAACGGGAGGTGCCTGCTGGCCGCCCTGACCATGGACAACCGCCTGACCATCCACGCCAACCTCAACCGGCTGCAGTGGGTGCAGCTGGTGGACCTGACCGAGCTCTACGGCGAGCGCCTCTTGGAGGCCGGCTACAGACTGTGCAAGGCTGACGCTCCCCGCGGGGAGCTGGGAGATTTCCCCGAGTTCCAGCGGCGGCACAGCATGCAGGCCCCGGTGCGCATGGAGTGGTCGGGCATCTGCACCACCCAGCAGGTCAAGCACAACAACGAGTGCCGCGACGTGGGCAGCGTGCTCCTGGCCGTGCTCTTCGAGAACGGCAACGTCGCCGTGTGGCAGTTCCAGCTGCCCTTCCTGGGCGAGGAATCCATCACTTCCTGCAGTACCATCGAGTCGGGAATAAGCTCCCCCAGCGTGTTGTCCTGGTGGGAGTACGAGCACAACAACCGGAAGATGAGCGGGCTGATCGTGGGCAGCGCGTACGGCCCGGTGAAGATCATCCCTGTCAACCTCAAGGCGGTCAAAGGCTACTTCACGCTGAGACAGCCCGTGGTCTTGTGGCAGGAGATGGACCAGCTGCCCGTGCACAGCATCAAATGCATCCCTCTCTACCACCCCTACCAGAAATGCAGCTGCAGCCTGGTGGTGGCTGCGAGAGGCCCTTACGTGTTCTGGTGCCTCCTGCTGATATCCAAAGCGGGGCTGAACGTGCACAATTCCCACGTGACGGGGCTCCACTCCCTGCCCATTGTCTCCATGACTGCGGACAAGCAGAACGGCACGGTGTACACGTGCTCCAGCGATGGCAAGGTCAGGCAGCTCATCCCCATATTCACAGACGTTGCTTTAAAGTTTGAGCACCAGCTGATAAAGCTCTCCGAGGTGTTTGGCTGTGTCAGGACTCACGGAATCGCCGTCAGCCCCTGCGGGGCGTACCTGGCGGTCGTCACCACCGAGGGCATGGCCAACGGGCTGCACCCGGTCAACAAAAACTACCAAGTTCAGTTTGTCACCCTCAAGACTTTTGAGGAGGCAGCTGCACAGCTCTTGGAATCTTCTGTTCAGAACCTTTTCAGGCAAGTGGACTTGACGGATCTTGTGCGCTGGAAAATCTTGAAGGATAAGCACATTCCTCAGTTCTTACAGGAAGCACTGGATAAAAAGATAGAGAGCTGTGGTTCCACTTACTTCTGGAGGTTTAAGTTGTTTCTCTTGAGGATTTTGTACCAGTCGATGCAGAAAGCCCCCTCAGAGGTCACGTGGAGACCTTCGCACGAGGATGCCAAAATCTTGATATCAGATTCGCCTGGGATGGGCAGCACTGAAGATGATCAAGAGGAAGGAACTTCAAAACAAGCCAGCAAGCAGAGCCTGGGGGACACAGGCAAAGGTGTGGACATTGATGACACTGCAGAGGATTCTCTCCATCAGTCAAGTGACACTGGAGGCCGTGAGCCAATGGTAGAAAAGCTTCTTGAAATACAGGCACAGATTGAGGCCGTAGAAATGCACTTGACACGAGAACACATGAAACGGGTGTTGGGAGAAGTTTACCTGCACACGTGGATTACAGAGAACACCAGCATTCCCACCAGAGGAGTCTGTGACTTCCTGATGTCTGATGATGGCTACGATGACAGAACAGCACGAGTAAGTGGCACCTGTGCTCCGGGGATTCTGTGTCACTGTCACTTCCTTCTCCCCACTCCTGAAAATACAGCTGGGCTGGGAACGAGAGCTGTGGTCATGTCATCCTTGCCAGTGAGATTCTGTAGAACATTCAGCTTAAATTGCCCTTCCTTGATGTTGTGGAATAGGAGGGGATGTAAATACAGATGTTGAAATTTGGATCAGGTACAATAAAGAATAAAGATGCTTGAGTTCTTGGAGAACTGGGGAGAGGGCTGGGGTTACTGTGCTTCTGTCAGTGGGTTTAGAACATGAACTGATTGAGGGATGTTTGTTTTCATTACTCAGTTTATTTAATCCATCCTCTTTGCACAAGTCAACTTCAGGTGTATTTCCTCTAGTCACTCACACTGCAGTTCTGATGTTAAGAGCTGGTGTAGTGTGGTGTTCTCCCTGCTGGCATCACAGCCAAGTGTGGCCATCAGTAACTCACTGGGAAAGTGCTCTGGCAACTGCTGGGTTGTTCTGGCATTCAATTAATATGAATTGAAAGTTTGAGAGGTTGCTTTTCTTATCTTAGAAGAATCTTGGTTCTTTTTTATAGTGATGAAAAGCATCTTCTAAATTGTATTTTATCTATTCAGTTTGCTGTCACACTTTAAAGGTCCCTGGGATGTGGTTTATATCTATTGAAATGTCACAGACAAATTTGATCACATAAATGCTCTGCTATAAACATTGTACTCCCAGATGAGTGCTGAAGACATCCAGGTAATTTCTGAACAGGGATTTTTTTTTTAGCACATCCACTGTGATAGGCATGAGGGAAAGCATTGCTGTTGTGGTCAGTGGTGTGCTATCAGTTCTTTCAGTACTTTTAAAATTTGCAAGGAATTACTATTTTTAAAGTCTATATCCCTTTAGTGTGAGACAGAAATCGTTAAGAGAACAAAAGGAAAATAAATGAATACTTACTGATACGTTGCATTTCTTACACTTTGATTTTTTTGGAATTCAACTTATTCTGTGTCCCTCTGAAACCACAGTGAGGTGTTCCCCCCCCGGGCTGTGTCGCTGAGTGCCTCCTGTGTGTTGCAGGTGCTGATTGGGCACATCCTGAAGAAGATGAACAAGCAGACCTTCCCCGAGCACTGCAGTTTGTGCAAGGAGATCCTGCCCTTCACCGACCGCAAGCAGGCCGTGTGCTCCAACGGCCACATCTGGCTCAGGTAATGGCTGAGGCACCCGGAGCTTGTCCCCTCTGGGCAGTTCACACATTCTTCAGGAGCTCACTGAGCCACTTGTTAGCACTGGAGTGAAAAGGCATGAAGCATCTTAGCCGTGCTGCAGTTTTTTCTGTTCTCTTCCATAAGAGCCAGGGCACTGGAGGTTGGATTTGGTTCTCTCTTAGCAGGACAGTGTTTTTATAGTAAAATGCTTTTGAGCATGTTTTTTTTGGGGGAATATGGGGTCAGGGAGAAAGCAGGCAAGGGAAAATTGAGGACAAATCATCCTTTGGAACATCACTTGAGGGAAGGTTTGTTCAAGCTCCTTCAGCATTTGAAAACAAAATCAGTTTAACAAGAAATGATTGAGAACAGGCACATTGAAAGCCAGGCAAATGAAATGAAATTTTAGAAAATTACATAATTAGAATTTGAAATTTTAGAAAATGAAATCTTCCTGTACCAGTGTGGGAGGTGCATGGAGATTGTCCCTGGAGCTGTGACAAGTCACCAGTTTGTCACAGAGAAAAGCTGTGCCTAACAGGTTTTGTGTGCTAGTTTGGGTAAATAGTCATGGCCTTAAGGACACCCTGGTTCTTCCCTGTGCAGTAGGGCCTCAAGCTTTTCAGCTCATCTAGTGTGTGCTAGAATTCTTTTGTCAGTGATATATTGAGTTTTGACCTTTCATTTTTGTGTACATATGCAATTTGGTACACTTGGGAAGTTTACCTGAATTAATAAATTAATTTTCATATTTAATATGGTTCATTACTGCCTTTACTCTCAGAAAGCAAATTGTGAACAGAACCCAGCCTCCAGTCAGGGCACAGGAGCAGCAATAAACCCCAAACCTCTTGATAAAACTGCTTGTCCTTTCACAGGTGCTTTCTCACCTACCAGTCCTGCCAGAGTTTGGTGTACAGGAGGTGTTTGCTTCACGACAGCATTGCACGGCACCCAACCCCAGAAGGTAAAATGTTCCTGGGGCCAAAAGGGGCAGGATTGGGGCTTTTTAACTGTTACCTACAAAATGGCTTGAGTTAGTTTCACTGATTTTACTCTTTTAGGCAATTCCCATGTGAAGCTCTGCATTTCACAGATGTTGTCTGGGCATTAGTGACATGTTAATTGCAAATTAATAACTGCAGGAATTGAGGTATAAATCCCACATTTTAATGAAATCTGGGTAAACACATAATCTGTGCTGGAATGCTCCAGTAGTTAGTTTGATATTCAAGTTGAATATATCAGCATCCAGTTCTGCAAGAGGGATAAAGAAACAGGAACCAAGGACTGTGTTATGTGAGGGATCTAATGTCAGTTCAGAAAATGAGAACACTGCAGTTGGGCCATGGTGATCCTTTACATTTTTTTTCCTATATAGCTATGAGCATGTAAGGATAAAGCATGGAGTTTTCACCTTAATTGTGTCCCCTGCTGAGGTGGAATTTAATCTGGCAGTACTTGAAATTTCAGGGCAGAAACAGAGTTGGATTTCACTGAATTCTCAGTCACTCCTGCTTGTGAATATATACAAACTGTCCAGGATTCCTGTTGAGTTTGTGCATCTCAGGTGTCATTCCTCTGTTCATCTCTGCCTCCAGATTTAAACAACTTGTTTTCTTATTTGCAGATCCTGAATGGATCAAGAGGTTATTGCAGGGACCTTGCACCTTCTGCGATTCTCCTGTGTTCTAGAGAAAAGCTGTGTCAAGACTAAAAGTATTTTCTCTACTGCATAAGCTCCCTTCAGCCTGGGAGGATTCAGAGACAGGAACACAGACTCTGCTGGAGGGAGAACACCTTGTCCACAGCCCTGTACATAGAACATCACAGGTTCTACAAACTCCTGAAATCCAGAGCCCATTCCATGCTCCAGAAACAGGAATGCACCTGGAAGAGCCAGTTTAAAGCTGTTTGGAAATGCACCCAAGGGAGCCTCAGCAGCTGGACACTGACAAGGAACTGGAGGGTTGAGCACAGTGGGAATTGTCCTTTCTGCCTGACACCAGTGTCAGTTCCCAAAAGCTGGGATGGGAACAGCAGAGCTGCCTCTTGAATGCTCTTGGTGGTAGAGAAGGCTCCAGCTTGCACTGCTCTCCTTTGCTTTTTAACCACCCTGGCACTTGCTGTAGAACATGGAACACTCCAAATAATCCATGGTTCCAGTGTCTTGCCCAGAGAAGCAGATGCCAGTTACAGCCATATGAGAGAATTTGGCCATTACATCAATTTCACTGAAAGTCTAGAAGAGTAACTGCCTCAGAACTGTAACAGTGTTTCAGTCAGAAGGGTGATATTGGCTGCCTGGGATCAGTAAGAAGAATTTTTAAATATAATAATAATAATTATTATTAAACTAATAGCAATTAGCTTAAACACTAATATATATACATATATATAAAATTTCCAATGCTCTTAAGTCTCTTGCCCCACTTTCTTTTTCTGAACTAAGTTCTAACTCCTTCCCAGCTCTTGCCAAAGTATTTGTCTTTGGTTTCACTTAACCCTCTACCAAGAGGAACCTCTTTTCCAGAGAAACTCAGTTACCAAAAGCATTACCAATTACTACTGTCAATTAAACTGAGAGTCTCCCTCATGCAGCACTTGAGTTTTATACAAATCTGACACACAAATAATCACTCCCAGCTGACAGTTTTTCTTTTCATAAGAGCTCAGTAAAAAACCCCAAACAAACAGAAGACCCCAAACCCAACCCCACCATGGCTGACATGCTCTGGGTAGGGCCAAGGAGGCTGCTGAAGCTCTTTGTGTATCCCAGGATGGTTTGGGTTGGATGGGATCATGAAGCTCATCTCATTCCACTCCTGCCATGGGCAGGGACACCTCCCACTGTCCCAAGCTGCTCCCAGTCCTGTCCAGCCTGGCCTTGGGCACTGCCAGGGATCCAGAGGCAGCCACAGCTGCTCTGGGCACTCTGTGCCAGGGCCTGCCCACACTCACAAGGAAGGATTTGTTTCTAATATCCCATCTAACCCTTTTGAAGCCATTCCCCCTTATCCTGTCACTCCAGGCTCTTGTAGAATTTCTCCATTTCAAGTGGCCGAGTCCAGAAATTTATTTTGCCTTCTAATTGTCCTATCAGAAAAACCATCTTTTTTTTTTTGCCATCTGTTCCTACAGGGAGCAGAATCCTTTTCAACCTCCTATGCAGTGTTAGAGGAATAATACCTCCAAATGTGTGTGGTTACTTGGTACAGTTTGTCTTGTTAACTTCAATCCATGCTGTCAAATAATCCTGAGTTTGTGTATTTCCATTCTGCAGAGTACCAATCTCAGAGGTGTCGTCCTGTCTGTGATTCCTGACACTTCCACTGTGTGGGAAGTGCTCTACAGCTGTTGAGAGATCATGGAATTGTGCTGACATTATCAGTCTCCCACCAGTGCATGTGTGATTGGTGCTTGTTTCCTCCATTCAATGACTGTGCATATTTTGTTAATGTTCCTTCACCTTTAATAGGAGCAAATTTATTTTCAGCAAACATTAAAGAAGTCAGCTGTCCTTCTGCTCAGTGTCTCATGCATTAAGCATGATCCTGCATTGACTGAGAAGAACATTACTGTAGTAGCCTAGAAACAGCAGAAGCACATTCATCTGTAAAATAATTAGCCTTGTTTGTAAATATCCTTGGAAGTGATACCATAATTGTATTAAAGAAACATTTAGTTTTTTATTGCTGTGCATTGAAAATTGAAATTACTTCAGTGTGTCTGCAGAGAAGGGAAATGTAGCTCGTGTTGGTATCCAGTAAAACAAGGAGTAACCTCGATACCCAACGTGTGTGAGTTTGGGGCCAGCTCTGGTACCTGGGACAAAATTCCAGTGCTGGTGGGGCCTGGGGGAACAGAACATCCCTTTTCATGTGAGCTGAGTAGGGGTGGTGGTGGAGAAGGCTTTTTAAATGGAAGCTGCAAGTCCTTGCCCTGGCAGCTGTGACAGCTCATCAGTAAATGTTCCAGTTTAGAAATTCTGCCTGTGGAGAAGGGGAGGGAGCCCTGCAGAACCCTGTCCCAGTGCTTTCAGAAAAGTCAAAGAACATTTCTTTGGCCATGGCTTAGGCACCATAAAAATATCCTGAGCTACTGAAATGTTTAAGTCTGGCTGACCCAAAGGTTCACGTGATAACAGTTTAGATTGGTTCTTGCTGATCATTTCTGGCAGTTCTCTTGAATTTCTCTGAACTGAGTTTTAATGGTTTGCCATGGAGAAGCTCTAGCACACCTCACATTAGCATTGCAGCATTAATGTTTATTTTCCCTGTCTTTCAAGGCACTAGATGCTCAGTCTGCCATTGCCAGTTTATTTAACCTGGTTTCAGACTTCTGGGAAAATGGAATTTTAAAGCCAATGATGTTGTCTTTGTCTGCCAGTGGAAATTCTTTAGCAAAAAGCTTCCACTCTTCCCCCTGACCTGTTCACAACAGGTACAGAGGAACTGGGATTTCATTTTTGTGTAAACCAGCACTTGTCCCTAAGTGCATTTTTAGCCAGAATTGCAGAGCCCGCCTCACTCAGTAACATTTAACCCCTGGTGCTGACCTGAGTGGGTTTGGCTGCCCAGCGAGCGCTGAGGCTGCTCCAGGAATCTTTTTGTGCCTCAGATTTGTGAGGGGCAGTTCTGGTCATGCAAGGGTTGGTCCTGCTCTTGTCCTGATCCAACCTTGCTGTCACCTCACAGGGAAGGGGAGCAAGAACGAGCACCTGCTGCCAGAGCTTTGTGTTATTTTGCCATTATCAGAGCTGCCTCCTCAAACCAACACATCTCCTATCAAGGCCCACTCTGTTTTGAGACACCAACTGAAGTGTTCAGAGAACAAATCCCACAGAACTGGAGTTTATCTCCGTAAGTTTTTGCCCAAGTTTTGCAGGATACTTCAACAAGTGAATAGTTGGAAGATGTCAACTGCCTCACCATTTGGTGGTGAACACTCTGGCTCTTCAAAGACCCTCATCCCCAGAGGGAGAGCAACATTCCAGCAGAGACTGAGGGCTCCTGCTGCTCTTTTTTATTTTTTTAATGGATTATGATACTTGCAGCTGAGAATTAACAGGCAGACATCCTGTTTGGCCAGAGCTAAGGTGTCATTTTCCTTGAAGAGGAGCTTCTGACAGCATTTAAGATTTGCTGCTCACGCTGGTATCACACTGGGAGTTAATCCCTCCTCCACTGGGATGAAGAAATCATACCCTTGGCTAATCCAAGTTGGATGGATAAGTGGAACAGCTCTGCATTGTACAGTGTCTTGGTACTAGGTGCTATTCTTGGAACTAAGGAGGAAGTTTGGGGTCACAAGGACTCAGTCCTGTGTCTCCAAATTACACCCCCTGCTCGGGGATTGGTGGTGAGGGATCTCATTGCTGCCTTTCACCTCAGTTCACTTATGGCTCTGGGACTTCATCATTCAGTCACCCTTTCCTTTGGTGTTTCCTCACTCTCTTAATCCTATTGTGTATGTCTAGAGAGGAAATACTGTGGTTGTCAGTGCATACATAAAGAAATAAATATTCCTTGGGAGGGAGGAGGAGGATGAGCCATCCCTGCTGCTCCTCAGAGTCCTCACCACAGAGCAGGTTGGGGTCAACTCCATGCCCTGAGCAGCATCCAAGCCCCACAGGGAAAAGTGAGAGCAGGGAAATCCTTGGAGAGCCACAGGGAGTCCCTGCAGAGGTGCTGCTGGAGGAGGGGATCTCCTGCCTGGGGGTGTCCAAGTGCCTTTTCACCACTGTCTGGAGCTGGGGGACACAAAACTTTGTGGAACATTTGGACAAATCGACCTTGTTGCTAAACTACATAATTAACAGCATGACTTATTATAACTTCCAGCACAAGCTCCAGGCAGCCCTCTCCACAAAGTGTCTCTGGGAAGCAGAGTGATGGAAGATGTCCATTGCAGACCTGGGCAAAGCTGTGCAATCAGTAACGTCTGATCCCTGCTGTGCTCCTACCACCTCCTCCTCACCTTGTTTGTCTCATTGCTCAACATTTGTTTTGCCAGAATAAGATGCTAATAAAATCACGCCTAGTTACCAAATTGGTTTTCAAGTGTTGCATTCCAATTATAAAAGCCTAATTCCTGCTTCCACCCACTGAACCTTTTTGGTATTAACAGGCTTTACTATGCAAAGTCATGCAGGGGCTGTTTCGTTTACAGTAATTAAATGAATGTCAATTGTTTTAGTTGTTTCTGAGGGAGAGTTCTACATGAGTATTAGCATGTTCTGCTAACCCTGACGTTCTGCACTTCAGGCCTGCTGCAAACCCTTGGGGGTTGACCACTGACCTGAGACTCCTACCCAGACATGCCAAGTGCATCTCAATGAGACTGAGCTCTTTTTCTCAGTTTCTATGGAACCAGCGGAGCGGAACTAATATAGCATCCGCATATAGATGAAAGAATGAAGAGGAAAAAGGGCTTTACAGCTAAATTAATTAAGCAGATGTACCTGTCTAATTAAAGATGCACTGTCCCTTTTGTACCCTAGCTGCAGTACAAACAGTATTTAAATACACTCTCTATCCATTTCATCTATCAAAATATTTAGTAGGAATGCTCAGATGAAGGTGATATTAGCAAGATGAGCTTCCCATGTATTATTAATAGAAGGGCTCCCAATTATGCATGAATGCTGCAGCACATCTTCATAGCAATGGCAGAAAACCCAGCTGCCCAAGCAGTCACCAACCAGCACATTTGTAACAGGTAGGGCTGTTAAAGATGTCCCTGCCCAGCTGAACACAAGGGTTTTGGCTGGCCCCTGTGCCTGGGAGCAGCCTCTGCCTCAGCCTGGTGCTACAGGCTGGAATTTCTCAGCTCAGGAGGCACCAGGGACTCAGGTTGCTTGGATTTGGCTTTCTTAGATTTCAAAGATATTTATTCTGAGACTTTCAGAGCTGCCCTCAAGGCCAGAAAGTCCAATTCCCATCCATCAACACCCCTTCCCTCCCAAAAGCATCAAAAATTCTGACTTTAAATTCTCACAAAATAACACAATATCCCCATTGCCATTTGGACAAGTGGGGTCTTTCCACCTGAAGTTACAAGGATTTGCTTGCAGGGACAGAGGGAGGCAAGGAGTGCCTGGGTGGTTTTTGTGGAGAATGAAGACACAAACACATCTAACAGCTTTAATACTCCAAATTGACTTCATGGGTCTTACATAGTGAAGACAAAACTACTATTCAGAAACAGAAAAAAAAAAAAAATTAAACACAGGACTTCCCCAGCCACAGTGTTTTATATCTTGCATCATGAAACAAAAGTCAAAAAACTTTCCCTTGAAGCCCAATTTCTTACCCTCTGTACTTCACTCAGCCTTGGTGAGCTTCAGATTTATCACAGCTTGGCTGAATTCCCCCTCCCTGGTGATAACCTGCCACTCCAGCAACCAGACTGCCAATATTACAGGGAAAAATTTAAAATCAACTCTTCCACAAATCATCCCTTTAAATGATAAACTTCTAATGTTTTTTACACGGAAGGGGCTTAATGATACAGCTTTCTATGAACTCAAAGATAACATAAGGGTCTTGGTCAGCATTGACATAAAAGGCATCTTGGTAAAAATCCTCCAGGGCCTTGACATTGCTGTAATAGATGTCCAGGCGCTTCTCAATATTTTCTTCCTCATCCTTGGGGTTCTGCCTGAGCCTGGCCTGGATCTCTGGAGTGGGAGCTGGTCTGAATGTGGTGTGGTATCTGGAGAGGAGAAGAAATGCCACAGTTTCAGCTCAGCCTGAGGACACAGCAGCCAGTTCTGCAGGTACTCCATGCTTTTACCTGTCACAGTCCCTTGGCCTCTTTCTGCTCCAGGTTGGGGTTTTAAAACAAAGATTGGAAATTTCGGGGCAGGTAATCTGTCATTGCTGCCCTCAAGAATCCTGGATCCTCAAAGGCCAAGGGTTTCTCTGATGGTGACATTGATTGTGTTCATCTGCTCTACACAAGGAGAAATTTCTATTACATTACTCAGTGTTCTGGGTTCTGAAGCATTTCCAGACCTTCTACTTGTAATCTTTGATTCCTGTCTTTAAAAAAAATCTAAAAAACCCTAAACTTAAACATAAACACAGCCCTGTACCCAGCATTGCTGGGACCTGTCACTTGAGTTGTGTTTAAGCCTCTCAGGCACTTAATTGCTAACATCTTTATGTAGTAGCAGAAGGTAAAAAGAGGTTAATTCATCTGAGATAGGTTTTAGTTATTTTTGATTTTCCAAATGCCAGAATTTGGCTTCCCTCAATTCACAGCTGTGGCTTGCCTCAGTTACTTCAGCAGAAAAGAGGATTTTCATCCTCAGAGTCCTGTAGCAGTGCCACAGCCCAGCTCAGCTGACACCAAAGGAATTCTGATGATATTCCTGCATTGCCAAAGGCTCCCAACAACCTCTGAAAGTTCCTTTGCAATTAAGTGTTTAAATTCCCTGTTAGAATTGGTAATCCTAACTCTGGGTAAGTATCTGCTCTGCCCTAACACAAAACCAGCTTTTCTGTCTTCCTGTACAGACAAATTTCCCAAAATTTGGGATACTTTGGGATATATTCCTGATATTTTTGGAAAAATGCAAAACCAAGGAGACAGCAGAGTCTGTGTCTCTGCAGAGCTGCACCCAATGCTGTGGACACAGAGTTCTTCCACATGGGAATCATTTAGGGCACAGCTGAAGGCCACCCCTGCCCTGCAGCCAGAGGCTTTACACATGCCAAGGCTTTACACATGCCAAGGATTAGACACAGCACCTAAAAGAATTCAATTCATGGAGAATTTGTGAGGAATAAACCCCAGAGTGTGGCAGAGGGAAGCGTGTGAAGTGGAGCAGATACTGAACAGCCTAATCCTAATGATAAGAAATGCAAAGATGTGGGAATGATTTGCTTCAGCCTGCTCCTTCCTGCTGAACAACCACATTGCTCATTACTAAAGCAAAGAGAGCAGTTACAGCAAATCACTGCTGCTGTCACAAGTTAATGCTGCACCTCGAGTGAGATGTCTGAATAATCATCCATCACTTTGGGACAAATCCACTCCTTCTGGCCTTAATCTTGGAGGGTTCAGGATTTGTCTTTGATGCAATAGGATGCACTCAGCCTTTAGAAAAGCAAAATAAGGGTTTAAAATTTATGTGTGGGGAATCATAATTTAATTTGTGACTTGTTCCCTGGAAATCAAGGGTGGAGAAGGGAGGAAAGCTGAAGGTCACTGGTGAGACAAGGGGATGTGACACCAGTGAGAGGAACCAACCTTCCAGTGACTCAGTGACTCAAAGGAGTTTGCTTTACTCCTTTGCAGGAAACACATCAATACCTCCCAGCAGACAGGACCATCACAGGAGCCTGGGGAAGTAAAATGCAGCAAGTTTTCCATTTTCCCCAGCTGGGAAGCCTTCAAAATTCCCACGGGAATGTCTGAAAACCATCTGCATTTAGGCTAGGTTTCAGACATCTTCCCTCAGCATTATTTTCCCAACCAATTGAGTTACCATTAAAATATTAGACCTGAGTTATTTGCTGCTGTAGATTTCAGTCACCAGGATTGAAACCCCCCTGTTCTGAGGAGCTGCTGCAGCAGGAAGGGGGGCTGGTGCTTCAGGAGCTATGAAAGTTTTAACTCTTCTTTTAAGGAATCCCTAAGCAGGAGTAGAGCATTCCTGAGCTCCTTAAATTGCTAAGAAGCCGATTTGGTGCTTTCATCTCCCTGGCAGTCAGGAAAACGTTAGACATGAGGCAGGAGTGCTCACCTCTCCCCAGTGACAGGATCCGTCCTCCGCTGGGACAGGCGCTCCATGATGGACTCGTAGGGGAGATTAAAGAAGAATACCCTGTGGAGAACACAATTAAATGAATTAACACCCTGAGAACAGCACTTGTGACCTTCAGAGTGGGAGTTAATCCTCACCAAAGGAAGAGCAGCAGTGACAGTCCCCCCAGACCTGCAGAGTCACAAATTTCTGTGATTTCTGCACAGCCTCTCCTCATGGGTTTGGTCTGCAGGCTCAGCAAGGCAGGAGCTCTCTGGCACAGGACTGTGTGTGCTGGGTGCTCTGACAGCTCAGGCTGAGGAATTGCAGCTGGAGCCTCTCTCAGCCTGTCCCAGCCTGCTCACCACCCCAGCACCTCCCTCTGAACTTCTCCAGATCCACTTCCAACCCACCCAGCAAACAGAATCACAATGACATGACCCCAAAGGTAAATAAAAACCTCTGCTGTTCCTGTCAAGGACAGAGAAAGATCTTGTCTGCCAGAATGATGCATTTCTCCAGTGCCCATGAGAGGGATTTTCCTCTTGCTGTTTCAGTCCACTTCCACCCCTTCTGCCCTTGTCTCCCCCCAGAGTGAGTCCTCTGCTCTCCCACTGCTGCCCTGCATCCTTCAGAGCAGGATGAGAGGTAGGACACAGCACAAGCCCCACGATGCTGCTGACAATTCCTTGTCCCCTCCAGCAGCTCAGCAGGGCTGGGCCTTGCTGGTGACACTTTCAGTCCACTTCCACCTCTTTTGCCCTTGTCTCCCCCCCAGAGTGAGTCCTCTGCTCTCCCACTGCTGCCCTGCATCCTTCAGAGCAGGATGAGAGGTAGGACACAGCACAAGCCCCACGATGCTGCTGACAATTCCTTGTCCCCTCCAGCAGCTCAGCAGGGCTGGGCCTTGCTGGTGACACTGCTAAAAGGAAATGTTAATGCTGAAGGCTTCATTTGAAGATCAGAACCTGCAATTCCCATTGAGCCTGAGCGAGGGAGAGCTGCTCAGCCCTCAGAGGGGCAGCCCCACGCTGTCACTGGGGTGGGTCCCACACCAGGAACAGCTTTTCAGGGCGGGCTGGAGCAGGACTTGCCAACCCATTGCACAGAGAGGACACAAGCTCCCTTACGTGGAGGAAGGATGCAGAACCAGAAAACAAGCCCCACATGCACCCAGACACACCCCACTGTTGCATATAAACTGCTGTGCCCATCTCACACTGATTCCTTGTCTTTTTGGTTCATTACAGTGCTCCTGTTAATTTTATATTTGTGTTCAAAAGCTCCCCAGCAGAAGGTTCTTGACAAACTGCTGAGCATGAGCAGACAGGAATCCCCTGTCCCCCAGCTATTGGAGACTGGAGCAGATCTGCACAAAGATCACATTCAACAATTAGCTCAGAACAAAATAAAAAATAAGGCTCCTTTGAACCTATGAATATAATTTTTCCCAGCGAAGCACAAGCTGAAGGCTGTAAATACATCTTTCTTTACAACACACCTTCTCCTGCTGCTGCCTTCAAGGCCAGGCTTCCTGTTTTCATTTTTGTCTGCTTCTCACAGGAGATACTGCGTGGTTTAGACATTCACCAAAGGAACATTTTACACTGACTGGGTGGGATCAGACCAGATGAAAGGCTGAGCTTTACCTTGGCATGCACATAGCAGATTACTAGAATCCTTTGTAGGATTTAAAGTTATGAAAATCATCTCTCTTTTCAAATGTTTACAGATAATGACTTCTATTCACACTGTGGTAACAAAATAACAGCCAGGAATAAAACATTCAAGATCTTGGAGATTCCAAAGACAGGAAAAGAACAACAGTTTCAACACTCTTTTATCCCTTACACTCTTAACATTTTGTTGTTCTTTGTTTCTGTTGCCCAACAATGGCACAAAAACGTGATTGTCAGAACAGGTAACATCTGATGATATGTCTCAAGATGAATATTCTAGTAGAGAGGAACAACATTTATACAGTCATGATAATTGATACGGTTTCCTATTATATCCTGAGATAAACAAACCCACTGAAGGATTATAACCTGGCATATCAAGAAAGCTTGTCGTAATTCATAGTTAGGAACACAAAAAGTATTATGGTATTTGCAACAGAAGAGCCTAAAAAACTCCACTTAAAAAGCTGCCAACAAAATGAACTCTGAAAGCCTTGTCTGAGACTCCCTTCTTTTCCAAACAAGATGCTGCTTATTATCCAGTCTGGTGTCACCATTAAAGAGGAGTTAGGGGAGATGTGGGAGGGTGCAGACATCCCTGCTAATGTGGATATTTTTCCCCCACGTGCACTGTGTAACAGCACACACAGAATTCACTGTACAGCAGCACAAACTCCCAACCCAAGGGTCCTTCCAGTGGAAGGTGGGATGCCTTACCCTGCCACTCCACACATCTCCCACAGATGAGAGAAAACAACACTCCCCAGAGCTGTCAGTTTACAGTCGTTCGGAAGCAGGGGGAAAAAAAAGATGAAGGGGAAAAGCACTGACAGAACTACAGTCTAGACTTAAAATACTTCCAATTAGAAAGCTTTATTACCATTTGGAAGGAGACACATACCCCACACAGTCTATTAGGAGCCCCAGGAGGTTTACTCACAGGAGTAAAGCCTGTTTACATGGATGCAGGCTGGGAAGTGCCTTGGCTATCTGATACATCTCCTGCAGCTCCTCAAGGTTCTTGTGAGCAACATCTGGCCTCTGTCCCTTGCTCAGGCTCCTGTGACTCTGCTCACATAACAAAGCTGACCCTCCAACTGCCCAGGTAACACATTGGGTGGATTTCTCTTGGAAATCCTTGTAACACAGAGGGCTGCACCCATGACCTTGATCCAGCAGCAACTGGAACCACTCCCTGCAAGTACTGGATTCCTCTCCAAGCAGAGCTTGGCCCCTTCCACACAGCAGGCGTGGTTTTCTCACATAAATGCATCCCCTGTAAAGCTCACTTTAGGAATCAGCCAGGCTTTGTATGTTGTAATGTCACAGCTCCTATCAAGGGGAAATATGAAACAGATGTCATCAGAACTGGTAGACAGGGAGGAGAGGAAACACAGGCTCATATCAAAGGACACGACATTACCCTGTGGATTAGCATCCAGCACAGCTCCTCTGCCACGGCTCCCAGCCCAGCTGCAGGAGGGGAGAGGTGTCACTCAGCACCAAGGGGAGGGAGGGCTGGCCAGAGGGGCACCAGGAATCCTCACTCCTGTGCCACAGGGTCAGAATCCACCTGTGGGCAACCAAAAATTGCTGGCATCCTGTTGGAGACTGTGGGGGAAACGTGGTGCAGCCTCTGAGGATAAATGTCCCCCTGACTCCCATTGAGGGAAACCAGAGATTCCTAAGCACAGCTCTGTCCTCTCTCCTTTGTTCCACCTCCGAGGAGAGGGATATGTGGGAAAAGGTCCAGTCCTGTCAGCTTTTATAGATGATAAAACTGTGAACACAAATGTTAAAAGGCACAAAAAAAATCCATGTGTCAGAATCTTGCCTCTTCCTCACTGTACTTGACATCATTTATCTAATCTAGTGCAGCTTCCAGATACATTAGAGAGATTAAATTCCAACAAATTAATAATGATGATGACACCTTCACTGTGTACCCAGTCAAATGAGAACTTGCTGCCTTTGGATGGTGATGAAATGTATTCCAGCCCTAGCAGCTGGAATGTAACTCTGTTTTCCTACCAGCCATCTGGCATTCCAGAAGAGTATTCCAGCCACTTCTGACTATTCAGACAGTGTCATCTCAGAGCCTGGAGGTCACCAGAGCACCCTGCTGCTTCCCCAGGCAAATGGGGGAGGAGAGGGAAAAGCAGGGGTGGCAGGGGTGTTATTTCACCCCGGATTCTGAGACAGGATTTTGGGAAAAATGTGTCCCAACCACACCATAAGTGAAGGATTTGTGACCTACACAGCAGCATTCAGCTAATCCTGAGCTGCATTTGTTCCAGATGGCAACCAACCCATTTAATCCAAGTTATTAACAACTGGCAGTGCTCAGTGCTGGCCTCACAAGAATTTATTTGGTGGTGGTTTTCCTGTATTCTGGAGATAACCACACTGGCTTCCAACACCTGGAAGGGAAACATTTTTGAGTGTTGCTGTAAGAGAAGCAGGTGTGCCTGAACCCTGGGATCCTGTGAATAAGGAATGCTCCAGCTAAGGACAGTCCCTTTGCAGGATGGCTCCACTGCCCTGCCAGCTGCCTTCACATCTCCAGAGAGCTGGAGCTCTGCCTGGGAGCAGGGCTGTCCTTTAAGCACAGCTGCTGCACGAGGCTGACTGAGATGGATCCAGATGTTGGCTGTTCTAGACCTGAGCTATTCTCTCAGGTCAGATTCTCACCCTTGGCATTTCCCACTGTGACACTGGGGGAGTGGAGCCCAAAGCCAAGCCCTTTTTATAGAACTATTGTCTGTGAAATCAGATCATACCATGAAATCAATTCCATGCCTTGTTTTCATTTAAGGATGTAAAGACAGCACAACAGGATATCTGAGACAGGATCCTGATCCCACCTGGCTTTTAAAAACAGAGACACTGACTTGCTTGTGGCTATACCAGGGCCAGGCCAAGCTTTGCAACAAAGTTAGGATGCTTTAACTAAAACAAAAATACACCCCCAGCCAACACTGGGCCACTTTTAATGCTGCTTTTAAACTTTTGAGTTGAAGCTGCAGCTTTAAAAATAGTAAGTTATTAATCTTTCCCTTATTTTCTGACTCCTATATATCTTCTCTGTCGCAGGCAGGTACCAGCTGCCATATTCCCATTCTTCATGCTCTGCACTCTGCAAAAAAAAAGAGGCCCCTGCTGGCCAATTCTTGTTTAAAATTGTGCATAATTGATAGTGGCAAATCTACCCCAGCTGTGTCTAAAACCTCTCCAGGGGCAAGAAAAACACTCTCTGTGACTGTCATTAAGTACTAAATTAGCAAGTGCTCCTGGCAGTTTACAACGTACCACATCAGTCTGCTTAAAAAAAGAAAAAAAAAGAAAAAAAGTGAAGATCAGATGCCTGTGTGATGTCAAAGTTACAGCAAACTTTGCTGGCAG